TGTTAATCAAAAAACACTAGGCCCAAAAGAAATGCATGTTGTTTGATTTCATTTATATGATGCTCTAAATGGACAAAATTATCTATGATATTAGAAGACAGGACAGCCATTAACTTTTGAAAGTGAATGTGATATAATAATGGGGTGGGGCACCATTAGACTTAGAGGTTGTGGGCTTCTAATAATGACCAATTTCTTGACCCAGGTGCTAGTAAAATGAACAAGTTCACTTTATAATAATTCATTACATTATGAAATTATGAGGTATATACTTTTCTGTATGTGTGTTATAACTCAATACAAAAGAAAAATAAAGAAATAAAGAGCTAATTACTGGGTATTTAGAGTCAAAGATGTCCATCATGAGGGCAAAAGATGTGGTTTCTCTTAGTAATGTTCTTGGGAATTATGTGACCTCAGAAGTTCTCTAGTATAAAGGGATTTTAACTACTTAAAGGTAGTACATAGAAATTACAGATCATTTTTCATCAGAGATAAGACCTAAAAGCAAATAAAATGTCAAATGACATATAACAGAAAGCTTTTTGCACCATCTTAAAAGGTATGAAACCAGAAAATGGATCATATGGTAAGAACTCTTCATTTCACTTTCTAATTATTTTAGAAATGAGAGAACATTTACAACAGAACTCTTTACTTACCTAAGCAGAGGTGACAGTTCACAGGCTTAGCAAGATCTGAGGAAAACAAGCCTATTATATAAAGATAAATTGTTTTCATTTTATGTGAACATCTACAAAGTCCCAAAATACTATTCAACTTAACAAGTGCTTGAGTACCCTAACTATAACTAGCACCACGTCTAGCACTGGGGAAGAAGACAAAAAAGAAGGTAAATTTGTGAGGAACTCTAATATAAACACACAAGATTTATTTAAAACAACAAGAAAAAACACAACTAGAAAATGATTCTAAGACAGGATATGGTGGGTGGCTTGCAGGAGTACAGTTAGTAAGACAGAAAATGATACAAGTATAATGAAACCAACTGATTAAAAATCCTTGAATGTCACACCAAAAATTCATTTAAATCCACTAACGATTATTTCATCTATATCCTACACATCAAAAATAATGTGAGTTCATTCATTATGCACACCTTGAATTATTCCTAGTTATCTTCTTGATCAATCAGCCTTAAAGTTGAGTCTGCATATATTAATGGTCTATTTAGTTATATCAAAAGATGTTTTTTGAGTTGTTATGGTTAACTTCTATGATATCCTCTCAAATAATTAGAGATATATCCCAAACATTCCCAACAGTCATGAATAAATTCTTATTGACCTACCTACAATTTAGGATATCACTGTGTAAAGTGAGTTGAATGAAACAATACCTTCAATTGTCTCCCTCTCAAAGTAATTTTTCAAGGACTAAAAGATTTCTATTACTTAGCTAGTCTTGGCGGAGCATATCTGTAATCCCATGTCTCTAAAACATTTTTAAAAGGGTGGGTGGGGTTAGTAGGGCACAGATCTCACACAAAGGCCCTGAGTTCAATTACTAGTACCACAAAAGAAAAAGAAAACTAACACTTAACATTGCGTCTAACACAGCAAACTTTGTACTTATTGAATTAGATTATTAAATTATATCAGCATATTATCCACATTTATCTCTCTCATGGTTTGAAAGACTTTGATTATATTTCTAAAGTCTCCAGAATGACAGAAGTACTAGAAAATCCCTCCATGCTTTCTATCAATTTAATTGCGTTTCTGAGGACTTTCATCAGCTTTTAGGTTTTTCTCGAGAAGTACCCACCAGAATCTTTTGTCTGACTGTAAGTGAAATCCACTTTTGATCATTTTACATGGAAAGGATAAGAATTTTTTCATCATTGTTACTAACACTCTTCCTGAGGATGCCCACCATGCTCTTGACCCTGGAGAAACACAATCACAGCTGGACCAATTTCTCTATAGAATGACTTATAGGGACTTTTAATTTTATTTCATACATTGTTCATTGTCAAATTCAGAGACTAATGTTTCTAGCCCTTAAGAGCATCTCTACCAAGCATCCAGATAAATCTATGGCTACTTAGCTGTCAGTTGAAGACAGTTGTGATTCCAGAAAGTCTGATGTGACTCACTTATTATCATCAGCAACTGTGTCTCCACTTTTTAAGATTTTTCTAAAACATTTTCTTTGCAGAACTTTACTGATCTCATTACTTCATATCTTTATTGTTCTAATTTCCTTCTGTATCTTGTTTTAAAAGTTTTTATATTGAGGTATGACATATAGTCTTCTAACAATGATTTCTACGTCTCTTACATCATAACCAAAAGCCCATTCCATCATCTCATAAGTGTAGACAGATGTACTTTTGCCTAACTGCATGACTTTATACAAACAAGGAACTGACTATGACTGCTATGTTTACTAGGTCTCCTCATATCTTCCTGCAATTTATGCTCACTTTTTGCCTTCACTTCTTGCAGACAAAAACTAGTGAGCAACCTGAATGTATTGCCTATTGGAAGGTACATACTTTATCTTTCTTCCTCTTCATCCAAGAGTTACTGTAATAGCAGTTGTTTGTGTTGAAAAACTAAAACATAAAAATATGACCTATGTGGCAAAATTCCACCAGGCTGTTTACTTCCTTATTTATGAACCAGAATTTGTCAGCACAATTTAGCATTTTGACTCTAAGCAAATACTGGAATCAAATGTCTCTGCAAAGCCAGCAGAGGGTGCACCAGGGCACTAGAAATTTTACCCAAGATGTAGCAGTATTAATTTAATTCTAATAGCCAATCAGTTTTTCCTCTATTTACTTATTCAGTACAGGACTTATTTATTATACACCAAAACTAATTATCTTCAAAAGAAGCTTCTAGTGAATCCAGTCCATTGAATCTGGGCTAAAATTCCTTCAGAGTACACTGCAAGTCTTCTAAAAGTAAAGCGCAGGATGAATAAGGAATACAGGGTTAATTCTTAGTCTGGGTCAAAATACAGGCAGCAAACAACAAAATGATATAGATATGAGTCCTCTCACTTTGTAAAAGTTCTACCCTGTTCCCTTCTCCTCAAGAAAGAAAAGCCTCAGTAGGCAGTATGCTGTAGGAGAATGGATACTGAACTGGGAGTGAAAATAATAACTGCATCCTAGTTTCAACTCTGTTATCTTGGGGAAGTCACTTTCCCTACAAGGTCTATGCATTTTCCAAGGAAATAAAACAGAAATGTACTCAGATGACCCCTTATAACTCTTTAAAAAAATCCTATTCAAAGTTCAAATTAACAAATGTATAGGGCCAAATTTTGTGCTTTTACAACACAAAGACTAAAACAAAGAATAAAGAACAAAAGATAGGAAGGTGTGTTTAAACCTAGACAGAACTATTTTAGTGCTACACAAAAGGCAGGCAACTGCATGCCTTTAAAGACTGGTAAGAGCCCCATACCATCACAGTAGTCCTAGAGTACAACTGTCTTGTTAATCCTTAGTCTATAAACATGTCTCTGTCCATTCTGAATGCCATCATTTGATTAAACAAGTTGAATTCCTTCATCCTTTCACAAAATATCAATATTCAGTTGCTAAGTATTTCTACTGGGCATTAGGGGGTAAATAAATAAGGGAACCAAAATCATAGTTAATTATCATTTAGCTACAGTGTTTAAAGTTTTAAGTATGAGAAGCATGCCTGCTGATTCTGTTCTTTGATAAGCTGTTATATAAGTAAGTTGGAGTGTTACAAGAAAGACATTTTGAGGCTCAGGGCAACTTTACCATACATGTTGTAAAAAACAGAAACGTATCAGTCCTAACATTACAGCATTATCCATGAATGTAATGCCTCTATCAAGTATATAACTGTGGATGGAGTTATACTTTGGAGGTCATAGTAGCACAAATAAAGTTCAAAGAGTTATGACAATGACTCTGGATGTGGCATTAAATGTAAAAAATCTTAGGTCTCTCTTCTCCAAGAGGTGCAAATTCACGATTATCCTCCTTGAACCACTTTAAAAACATTCTTTAGATGCTGTTTTGTTTCACATATAAGACAAAATATGACAATCAGATCAAAACTTTCACTAAATGCACTAAATTTATTTGAATAAAGAGCTAGAAAAAAAATCAGAAACAAAACCCAAAGCAAATAGTTTGTTAATAAGGGTACAGACACCCCTTAGATTGCAAAAAGCTGCTCTGGTGACTCTGTTCCTGAATAACTATTCCATTGACAGATTTAGGTTCTCCAGCTAGCACTAATGAAAACATTTCACACTTTACCACCGAAAACACTCCAGTAGAACCTACATGCAAAAGGTTTTATTTCCATATTTTTAAAAATTGTTCTTCAGAAGTTGTCTGGCAAGACAGCATATTTCTATATCAAAATTCCTCAGGGGCACTTATCTTCACTACGACACCAAGGACAAGTCAGTCTCAAATTGCAGTAAATATGAACAAGCCCATGTTCTGGTCAGCGCGCAAGGACCCCGTGTTGAAAGTACGGTTAAAAGTAGTTTGAATGCGCTTGGAGCAGTTATTATAGCTGTTTACAGCTCAGACTCCAAAGGAGAGCTTGCTACTGCTGGCATCAGCTCTGGACACGAAAAAACAAGCACCGCGGGCAGAGAACCTCAGCAGGAGCAGAAGGGCCAAAGTGCTCCCCGTTAGTCTTCCAGGGGGCACCGCGGGCACCTACTCGTTGGGATGGGGCGGGAGCGCTGCCAACTTTTCCCAAGGCACCACACAGCCGAGGGAGGCGGGAGTTAGCTAGAGTTTCCAAGTCAAGCAGATCTTAAAGACTCTGGGCGAGCTGAGCCAGGGAGTGAGGACAACCTGCCCTGGACAACTTCCCCCTTCTTGCTCGCCCCCTCCCTGGCCGTGCACTCAGACTTGGATCCAAGTGGCAGAGAAGCCTTGGGCCCTGCAGTGGAGGGCCCCTGCCCTACCCACCCGGGGAAGGGGCCTCAGCCGACGCCGCCACCCCTACTAGGTGACTCACCTGGTGCAGGTCCTGAGAGTCAGGGGGGAGTGTGGTTTCTCCCTGTTCCAACCGCTGGTACTGCAGCGACGGCTGCCCAATGTGGAGGGTGATGGGACGGTCAGGTTCGAGGCCACCGGCGTTGCTCAGGGTGCCAGAGGTACCATGAGTGCCCGGGCTGCCCAGGCGGGACTCAGCCCCTCGTTCCCGCCGCAACTCAGACCGCAATTCTAGGTAGCAGCACAACGTCAGCAGGTGGAGGGCCAGCGAGAGGCCAAAGAAACCCAGGAAGAGCCGGCAGCTGTACCCTTCACCCGCCCGGGCAGGGGCCCCGCGACAGCCACAGGCTTGGCTCCCTCGCTCCCCTGCTGCTGCAGGCAGGGGTTCCCTGCGCTCTACCTCAGGGCAGCCCATGGCCTCCGGAGACACCCGCTCTTTCAGGCCCTGGAGCCGCCGCGTCTGCCTCAGCCGTTCACGACCCCTGACACGAGGCTACTGTCCTGCCATCGGCTGGGGGCTGCAGGGACCCGTTCCTGCGCGGTGGCTGGGCGGGACAGAACAGGGAGCAGCCGCATGTGCTGCTCCACTCCGAGGGTTGGGAAAAGGAGGAGGAGGGGCAGGAGAGAGGGGCGGCTCAGCCCGCAAGGGAATGAGGGAGGAGGTCCCAGCCGACCCCGCCCCACCCCTCAAGGGGCTGCAGGGGTGCCCAACCACTGGGCCGCCTAGCCTGGCGCCCCGCCCCGTGCCGTTCGGTCCGGGCCTCCCGCCACGGGGCGGAGCCTGGGGGCTGAGGGTTCCTCTCTGCCTGGCAGCCCCACCCAGCTCTTCCCGTTTGCCCAGTTCTAGTTGGTGTCTGCCGATGTCCTTCATCTCCGGACTCCGCCCAAGTTTAACCCTTCTGTGCCAGTACGGGGGAGGGAGGGAGGGGGAGGCTAAGAAGAATTTGGGAACCTTGGAAAGAAAGTGGAGCAAAGAAAAGGAGGCAGAAACTAGCATTAATAGAAATGTTTGCAATTAACTGCAGTTGTTAATAACATCATCCAGTACTTATCTGTTGCTTTCAATCTTCAAAGCATTTAGCAGACGTTAAACTAATTAAAACAGTTCTGGGTTTGGAATGAAACCATGCCTGTTGTGTTTGCAATCTAATGGCTTGCCAAAAGAAAAGGAGACCTAGGATCCTGGGAGCCAACGGAACTGGGAATCAGGCAGCCTCAGTCCTGGAGTGAGTCTGGGGGCACAATGGAGGAGACCCTTGCCGAGTGGAACTGAAGTGATGTTGCCCCTTGAAGGTAAATAATCTTCTGGGGTTTCTTGATATGTTAGTTAATTCAGCGGATCTGTATTGATCCCATTTAGAATGCAGAAAGTGCTGTATGAGAAAGTAGAATACTTTGTCTTCATCTACTGCTCTAAGGGTTTTGGGTGGAAAATGTGCGCCTTCCAGTAGCAAATGGGGAAACCAAGAGCCACAATGAGGTGGATTTTTACAAGGGTGTTCCCCGGAATGGCCAGACACCATTGGTGTCTCTCTTTGCAAGCAACTGTTCTGGCCTCTCTACCCCTCCCATCCTTCCCCTGGAGTACTCCCTAGGGGAAGTTCAACAAGTCAGCCAAAAGTTCCAGATGTACACTGCTGCAACTGCAGCAACTTCAACTGTTGCACCAATCAGAAACGGGTTCAGGGCAAAAAAATGAGTGGCAAATGTCAGGACAATAGATCCTAAAATGAAGTATGGAAAGAACTAGTTCAGTCAAGTCACAGTTAACTAGTCTCCCATTATCAAAACCAAAATAACTGGCAGGAGGAAACATGCACATTTTTTAGCCACCACACTCTCATTCCCATTTTGGGGAAATTAACAATTTTATTGACTTGAAGCAGGCATCTTGAGTGCTACCAAGGAGGCTCAGTGATACCCTGGAACACTATAGGCAGGCTTAAGCCTGAGGCTGCTGAAAGACAAGAAAAACACCAAGGGAAATAGAAAATAAGAGAAACAACACAAAACTAAAAGCATATGGTGAGGAGGTCAGTCCAGAGAGCACTGAGGTTGAGAGCCTTAAACGTATTAGCCACAGACAACTTTTCTTTCATAACCTTTGTGAATTGTCTCAGTTCCTCCATAACATATTTTTGTCCTCTCTGTAAACTTTACCCATGACATAGAAAAATTGCAAAGAATATCATCATCATACAGATGGGAGGGGGATTTAACAGCTGCTCTCAAGTCCTGCTTGTCCAGACCAGGAATTCTAGATGCTAGGAAAACTGCCAGGCTGATTTACTTAATTATCACAGCCCAGGATTATTGGAAAGAATGCTAGACCAGGAGTCAGAAGACATGACTCTGCCACTACTTTCTTGGGTCACTCTTGAAAAGTTCTTTTTCTTTCTTTCTTTCTTTCTTTCTGTCTGTCTTCCTTCCTTCCTTCCTTCCTTCCTTCCTTCCTTCCTTCCTTTCTTGGGATTAGACCCAAGGCTTTCATACTTAGTTAAATCCCTGGTTGCTTCTTTTTAAAAGGTTTGTTTTGTTTTAAGATAAGGTCTTGCTAACTTGCTAAACTGTCTAGAATGGACTTGAACTTGCAATCCTCCTGCTTCAGCCTCCCAAAGTGTTACAGGTTTGTGCCATCTTACCCAACTAAGTTATCATACTAGGAAGGGCTTAGTTTCTCAACTATAAGATCAAAAGTTTTAACTGTAACAGCTATTACATATCCATGTCTTATCTGTCTCATCTTTGGCAATGTTGACTTCATTGTGTGGACAGTTTAAAGAGGCTGCCCCTTCTTTAAAATGTAAAGGGAATAAATATCTCCTGAGGGTGGTGGTGATGATGCCCAGGGATCATAGTGATCTCAGTTTACTTTGTAATTGTCAGGCTTTTAACAGTTTAACTGAGATTCTGAGTTGCACCATTGTCCTCAGGAGCCTTGAGAACTGCATTTGACCTAAGACCTCATTTTCTTCCTCAGAGGAAATATATACATATAGGCAGACTTGCAGCAATACAGTGTGGTATGGAATGTATCTACCCCCACTCCAAGCTGAGGATAGACCCCAGGGCAAGAACTCTATCACTGAGCTCCACCCACCAGCCTCTGGTTATTCTTTTAAATACTTAATTTTTTCAAAATGTTGCTTCACTTTTCTTCTGTTTCTATAAATGCCCTATTCTGTGCAGCACAGGTCTCAAAAGTAGCGTACAGGCCACAGTCAGAAAACAGGTGTGTATAATATGATATTTGCTAAAGCTTTGAACTTTAAAAATCAATTGCATTTGCAAATTTGAAGATTTCACATTTTAAATAATGTAAGTTTCCTGCTATTCTATTTAAAAAGGTCTGTTAACATTGAATCCACATTACCATATATCTGTATTCTACTAAAATTGTCCCCTTGAGGTAAACATGAACAATAAAGTTCTATGTAGTCATTTCTATCTTTCCTCTAGCGTCTAGTACTGTCCCTGTCATCTTACCTATGTGAACTTGGGTAGTACAGCATGACTTATAAACTACCTCTCCAAAATTATCTTCTACTATCCTACAAAAAAGTCATGGCTCCTGCATTACTAAATTTGCTGCTCCCGCCTCAAAAGTTGTTTAAGAATAAATTACATGTTCTCTTTGGTATGGCCCTACTTCGCACTCCAAACAGATTTTCCTTTGCACTTTCATTGTATCCTGAATTTACATCAATGATACCATTTACAACATATTTATAATGTTTCCTGTGTTTTTCTCACCACTGAACTCCGAGTTGCTTAATGATAAGAGTCATACTTTGCCATGTTGGTATTCCCAATAAAAATTAGCATGGTGCCTACAACATAGGAGGCACCAGAACTGTTTGTCAAATGACTACGGCATAAAGTCAGCCACAGTAACCCCAACTACCCAGAGTTTCAAAAAAGGAATTGAGCCAAGAGATGCCTGTCAATATCACTTAGGAAACACCTCCTGGATACAGAGCAATATAATACACTACGGAAAGATACAAAGGAAATCGAACCAAAAGATAACTGTGCAAACTGGTTTTTATTTGTGTTACTGTGGGAGTTGCAGATAATTCAGAAAAGTAAATAATACAGAAATTCTGTAACTGTTATATTCATGTAAATCTCAATAAACCAAAAAACGTGTTAACTGTTCACAAATCTGCTTCTGGAGGCTCTGGTTTAAGGAAGTGTGTGTGTTTATGAAGTTGACCGAGGGCAGCCATGGTGGATTGACAACTGGTGGGCAACTTGTAATACTCAGCTGAAACGAATCAGTGTGGTACTGGGTGTAGAAGGCCCACCTGAAGATTGTTGACAACAGCATAAAAAGAAGAACTGGCAAAGGAGAGAGAGTGCTGTCGGTTCTTCTGAAGGAGCTTGTTATGCTGGCTTTCCTGATGTGAACTTGGCTGTTCTTTTCTGAGGAGCTTGGGATCTCATTGTCCCTAAGGATGACCATGGTACTTTTTTGGAGGATTTCTGGTCCTTCGTTTGAGTGTCATTTCCTGGGTACAGTGCAGAATTCAGCTTGCTGGCACAGATCCTTTATCCCACTGGTCAGACTTTCTAGCATCCACCCTTGGGCCATCCCAGTACAGATCCATGAAACAGACTTGCATAAGAAATTGTTATGAGCTCTAGGCTTCCAGTCAGACTTGTAGGAGCATTATTAAGGGCTCTACATCTTCAGCTGGGCTCATGCAGAGCATTTCTGTGGGATCCAGGCCATTAGCTGGACTCTAGTGTGTGGACAGAATACTTGCACTCTTGTATTTGAGTCTTTGGGTGACTATTATAAAACAATCCTATGAGTTATGTGTTCTGTATTATATTGTTTCCCTTTCAAACCCTGACTATAACGCCTGTGTCTTCAAGAGATTTACCTATTCTCTCTTCCAACGTATTTAGCATTTCTGTTTTAATATTTAGACCTTTGATTCATTTTGAGTTTATTTCACTGCTTGGTGAGAGACATGAATCTAATTTTAGTCTTTGTCATGCAGATAGTCAGGTTTTCCAGCACCATTTAGTAAAGAGGCTATCTTTCTTTGACTGCACATGCTTGGTACTTGTGCCAAAGATAAGCTGGCTGATGTGTTTGAAGTTGTGTCTGCGTTTTATAATCTATTCTACTGATCCTCCGATCTGTTTCTTTGTTTTGCCAGTACCATGCTGATTTTATCACAGTAGCTTTGTAATATAATTTCAAGTGAGGAATTGTAATGGCCCCTTCTTGCCTTTTGCTCAGAATTGTTTTTTTGCTATTCTACATCTCTTCTAGTTCCAAATGAATTTTAGGAATCTTTTCTCTAGTTCTTTGAGGTATGTTAATGGTATTTTTACTAGCATTACATTAAACCTTTATAACAATTTTAGGAGGATGGTTATTTTTACTATGTTGGTTCTTCCTACTTATGAGCAAGGGATATCATTTCATTTTCTGAAATCCTCTTTGATTCTCTTTTTCAAAGTACTGTAATTTTCACTGTATAGATCTTTTACTTCCTTTGTTAGATTGATTCCTAAGTAGTTCATTTTTGAAGGATGCTATCATGAAGCGTGTGGTTTCCCTAATTTCTCTCTCGGTGACTTTGTTGTTTGTGTAGAGGAATGCTATTGGTTTTTGAGTACTGACTTTGTATCCAGCTACACTACTGAATTTGATTATTAAATCTACAAG